GAGCGGTTCTGCGAACTTCATTCTGGGGAATGTAGTCCAGGAGGTTCGTGAAGTCTGAGGCGCTTCCGCCTGGGGATTCTGGGAAGTGTAGTCCGGGAACTGTGTGTAGCCCGAGGCACTTCCGCTCCGGGAAGGCGAGGTCGGGGCAGAGATTACTCCTAGGGCGGTGAGTTAACCCAATGTCCCTGTGATCCCTCCGAGCCTTCTCGGCCTCTGCGTGGGGCCACCCGGTCCTCGCTCCTGGGGCAGGGAAGCCGCGGCGAGCGGCGGAGGGCGGGAGGGGGCAGTGGCGGCGGTGTGCGTTCCCTCGGCGAACCTCCCGCGTCGGGGGCGGGCTCGCGTCCTACCTTGAGTTTGACGGTCTCCCGCGCTCTCTGCTCCCCCAGCCCTCCTACCGCAACTACGGGCCAGCTCTGTCTGTTTCTTGCGGTAAATTATTGAGCGGGTTGCTTCATCTCTCTCTGCCTCAGTTTCCTCTGGTTAGTTCCTTCCCAATGATGTTCTTTTGAGAATTAAGTGAGATTATATTTTAAAAGCTTAAGAACAGTGCCTAGTGCACGGTAAAATGTTGGATGTTACCATACATTCAGTGATAATACTTAGGCGCCCTGGTGTTGGGAAGCTCCTGCGAGCGTGGGATGGGGGTCGGAGCTCCAGCTGCAGACCCATTGTGCCTTCCCTGATCACTGAGGTGGGTTTGTTCTTGGATTCCTGGATTCTTTCTGGACGCTTGTTTAGGAAGGAGAGTTATCTTCAGCCGGATCCTGGGAAGAGTCGTATGTGGTTTATCCCAGACAGAGAAATGGTCGTGGTCACGGCTTTGCACAGTGCCTGCGATGTAGCCAGGCTTCAGTTAAAAATGTTCAGTATTGTGTAACAACCCCGTATTGTTAATTTACATGCAACACGATTTCTTAGTCTTAGGTTTTTATTAGTCATTGTTTACCTTCATGCATATGCGAGAAGAAACTTCGTTCTTTCAGCTTAATAACACGTGCAAGTAGTTACACCTATTAAGGGGGGAAAAAACCCGTGGCAATTTAACGTTCATTAACAACAGTACAAATCATCTGTGAGACCACCAGTCGGAATTAGGCTTTTCTTGGAGAGTAAGGGTAAGTAAAGGGACAGAGTCATCATCTCTGAAGTCTGTGTTTCTTAAGATTCATCTTCTGTAAAGCAGATTCGCAAAGGCAGTTTTATGAATCTTAAGAGCATCTACTTGTCTGAAGCTGCAGGAGGGAATTCTGGCATTATTATACCCATTTATAGGTAGACTGGATTGAGGCACAGAGAGATTAATAACTTGCTCAAGGTTTACGCGACTAGTAAGTAGAAAGCGATAAGTAGAAATAACAGAATTTGAACCCAGGCATTTTGGCCCTGATGTCAGAAGCTCAGCTTCTCTGTACAGGGGTGTGGAATTGAATCTCGGACACAGAGTTTTGGGTGAAGTAGGAAAGGATAGCTTTATTACTTTGCCAGGCAAAGGGGACACGGTGGGCTCCTGCCTCGAAAAACTGTCCCCATGTGGAGCGGATAGTGGGAAGTTTTATAGTAATTGTTCAAGAAGGGCGTGATCAGCTCGTGGCCATTCTCCTGATGAGTTGGCAGTGAGGTAAGTGGGAGTCGGCCTCATCAACCTTCAGGTTCCAACTGGTCTGGGGTCTACATGCTTGTGGGCACCATACCATCATTAACTTCTCCCACCTGGAGGGGGTTTCAGTATCTGCAAAACAGCTCAAAGATATTGTTGTGTGTATCCATTGGTGGGGAAGCAGGACCTTGCCCCAAGGCTGCACTATTGTTTCTCTCAACTGTTTGTTTCTCCCTAGTCTCGCATCCCCTCCCTTCCCTAATGAACAGCTGCTTGAATCTGCCTTGAATCGGAACTCAGGGTCATGGAGGCTGAATGAAGGCTATTTCCTGTAGTCAAAGAAATGGGGGACACAGAAAGGCTTTGTGCCCAGGAGCCCCACAGGGCCCTGCTCGGTATCAGCCCCATTAAGTTGTTGGTACTTCCTGTCTGCCTCTCATTTCCTCTAACAGCCAGCCTCAGGAATACTCTGGGAGCTACAAGAAACACGTGGGTGAGGGCTGTTTATGGATTGCTCATGAACTAAGGCAGCTGGCCCAGGAGGCCCAGGGGAAGCTGGAATCCAGCCCCTGTTCTCGCTGGGTTATGTTGTCACTGCATTTGCCTAGAGAAAGGGGCCCCTCTTCCAGATCACACAAAGTACCACGTGGACTAGCACAGTTCCCAGTATCTCTCTCATGATGGCTTTCTTTCCCTTCCCCAGTTTTGCTCTCCCAGAACTTGGCCTTTCCCCAGCAGGAAGAGGAAAAAAAATGACCAAATTCCGGGTAAGTCAGGTTTGCTTTTCTGTTTCTTAAAATGACATCTCATTTCACAAAGACTGGACATATTTTTCTCCTGGAACCAAAGGCACTTGAGGAATTGTTGTATGGCGGCCCCTTGCTTTTTGTTTATTTCCACATAATGATGTGAAAATTAATAGATAATTTTTAAAAGTAAAAATGTTCCTATAATCAATTACACTCTAATATAAAACAAAAAGTTAAAAAAATAAAAAATAAATTCATTACCCCAAAAAAAACAGTTCCCACGTTATAAACATGTTTACAAATCAGTTTTCATTTTCTCACATTCCTTTTCATTAGTGTCTACGTGTGTTGATTTGTAATCACAGTTTTCAATACCATTTTGGATTTTTATTTTTTTTATTTATTTAATTTTGCCTTTTGGCTGCGTTGGGTCTTCGTCGCTGCGCGTGGGCTTTCTCTAGTTGTGGCGAGCAGGGGCTACTCTTCGTGGTGGTGCGCGGGCTTCTCATTGTGGTGGCTTCTCATTGTGGTGGCTTCTCTTGTTGTGGAGCATGGGCTCTAGGCACGCAGGCTCAGTAGTTGTGGCGCACAGGCTCAGTAGTTGTGGCTCACGGGCTCTAGAGTGCAGGCTCAGTAGTTGTGGCACACGGGCCTAGTTGCTCCGCGGCTTGTGGGATCTTCCTGGACCAGGGCTCGAACCCGTGTCCCCTGCCTTGGCAGGCGGATTCTTAACCACTGCGCCACCAGGGAAGCCCCACATTTTGGATTTTTTAAATTGTATAGCTCCCACAACTTAAAAGGTCACATCATTTTCCATAGTTCACCTAGTATTTTTTTCTGTTATCCATATTTATGTGGTTTATGAATTTTCCCATTTTAAGATGTTTGCAGTGACCGTTTTCCTACATATAACCTTTCTTCCCAAACAGGAATTCTGAGAGTTCTGCCATTTTCTTCCTAAACGTTTGGGAACTCAATTGTTTTCTCACGGGGAGCCTCACGTTTTGTGGCTGGAATGTGTCTAAAGCATGGTTTCGTGCAGCAGAGTCCAGCTGATACTGAACTAAGAGAAAATAATTTTGTTTTCAAACAAGAACTAGATTCTTTAATTCTAAGTTACGCCACGTATGTATTATAGTTAAGTATCTGTTTTGTTCACTGCCATGTTAGTATATTTTAAAGAGGTACACACTGATTTTGAAAAGTCTAGTAGCAGCAGGGACTTGCCAGGCGTTTACTTCATGAAGCAGCTGTGTAAGGATATAGATGGTCTTATCTGCATTTTAACAGAAACAGATTTGTGAACTTTCAGATACCTGTGAAAATCCACTCAGTTCCCAGCTGACACTAAAGTTTCCATTGCCCGAGCCAGGACTTTCAGGTGTCCAATGAGGATGAGTGGAGAGACCCAGAAGAAGAGACTGCTCCACATGGGGCCCTGAGGCCACGTTGTATGTATGCCTGGTGTGGCTGGAGAACTCCAAAAATAACACTGCCCTCAGTTTGTTCCTTTTCTTAGTGCCTGTCTCTTCTTTGCCAGATGTGTCAACTAGTTGTTTAATACACATATGCTCAGGACTCCAGTCAGAACAAATGTCGAGATGGGCTAAGTCTTTAGAGAAATAACTTTTTTTTTTTTTTTTTTTGGCTGAGCAGCTGTGGGATCTTAGTTCCCTGGCCAGGGATTGAACCCGGGACCCTGGCAGTGGAAGCACCGAGTCCTAACCACTGGCCTGCCAGGGAATTCCCTAGAGAAATAATTTTAATTGTCATAAAGGAAAACACCATATGCTAAGGCATGAGACACAGGAAACAGGAGTGAGGGGTGAAGGTGGGAATTTATACATGCTCGAAAAGGCTTAATATTCTTCATAGGAATCTTACTGATGCATCAGGATGCAACAGGATGCAACAGGCTTACAAGCAAGGCAAATGAACAAGCGATATGTGGGGGGAAAATATTGAAAGGGATGTTTTGATGAAGTTAAATAAATGGAAATTTTAAAAAAGAGCTGTTTTTATCACTTACCAAATTACCCAAGATTTAAGAAGTAAGATAGGGCTTCCCTGCTGGCGCAGTGGTTGAGGGTCCGCCTGCCGATGCAGGGGACACGGGTTCGTCCCCCGGTCCGGGAGGATCCCACATGCCACGGAGCGGCTGGGCCCGTGAGCCATGGCCACTGAGCCTGCGCGTCTGGAGCCTGTGCTCCGCGACGGGAGAGGCCACGACCTTGAGAGGCCCGCGTACCGCAAAAAAAAAAAAAAAAAAAAAAAAAAAAAAAAAAAAAAGAAGTAAGATAATGTCCAGTTTGGGCCAGAGTATGGAGAATCAGGAACACTTTTGATCTGTGACAGGAAGAGTTAATTGGGAGAATTGCCATTTTACTAGCAAAGGTGCATATTTTCTTTGACAGTGCAGTTGCCAGTTCTTGGAACTTAGCCTAAGGAAATAACCAGACAAGTTGGCTAAGATCTATGTGAAAATGCGTTTTTTGCAGCATTATTAGTAAGTTTAAAATCTTAAATTATTGTATTGTTAATTATTTGGAATGGTAAATGTATATTTTTTCACTTTTATGAAATACCATGCAGCCATGAATAATGATGATAATAGTAATAGTGATGGCTGACATTTTTTGAGTATCTAACATGATACTCCCTGGAGGTCCAAGTGGTTAAGACTCCACGCTTCCACTGAATGGGGCACAGGTTCGATCCCTGGTCGGGGAACTAAGATCCCGCATGCCGTGCAGCGAGGCAGGGGAAAAAAAAAAGTGTTAGATATATCCTAAACCCTTCGCATATTCTCATTTAATCCCATCAAGTACCTATGATGGTGTGCCCTTGTACAGATGGGGAAATTGAGGTATTGAGAAGTTATTGAGGTATTGAGACTTGTCCAAGGTCACAAAGGTAGTAATGGACAGAGCCTTAGAGTGTGAACTGAGGCAGTCAGTCTCCAGAGCCTGTGCTCTTAACCTTGACACTGAATGCTGCCACAGTTGACAGGTACAGTGTGTACCTGGGACAGAATGAACTACCTACCTGCCCCCACGGAGGTACTGAAGGCTGTTTAGATTGGCAGTCATTGACAAAATAGTGGTACTGCCCAGTGAAAGAAGGAGAGAGGCACTGTTATTGTAAATACCATTGGGACTAAATTAACTCAACATTTCATACAAAATTTGGCACTTTCAGTGAAATTGTAAAATGTGTGTATCCCTTGATGTAACCGTGACAATTCTAGAGAGACAGCTATATAAAGGGCACCATGTTGCACGTATATAAGGTTTTAAGATTTTTTCTTATTGTTCCTTCCTCCACCGACCCCACCACTCCAGCATCTTTGGTGTGACTGTGGAAGGGGAAGAGGAGACGGTGTCCTAAGAAGAGTGGTTCAGGTCGCTTAGAATCTGGAACGGCCTCCCACGTGCCTCCTCCACCTTCCCAGTGCTGCCCTGCTCCCAGGGGCAGTTGCTTGTAAGATTAAGGCTACATGTGTTTGGTGTCGTAGGAGGCGGTGACCTTCAAGGATGTGGCCGTGACCTTCACGGAGGAAGAGCTGGGGCTGCTGGACTCCACCCAGAGGAAGCTGTACCGAGAGGTGATGCTGGAGAACTTCCGGAACCTGCTCTCAGTGGGTGAGGACGGGCGCCCTCCCTGTGACTTGGCATCATCCCCCATGGGCAGGGTTTCCCAACCTCGGTACTACTGCCTTTTGGGGCCAGATGGTTTCTTTGTCATGGGGACTCTCCTGTGCATTATAGGATGTTTAGTAGCATCCCTGGCCTCTGCCCGTGACTTCCAGGCTTTGGGACTCCTTAGTGACCAGAGTTTTCCAATCCCTTTGGAGCATAGAGACAAGATGTTTCTAGTCTTTGTTCCAAGGCAAACGTTTGTCTTTTGTAACTGCGCTATAAGTGAACAGTTGAGCTTGGCTGCACCTGGCTCCTTATTTCATATTATATCTTTTTTTTCATCCCAATCTCCTGATTTATCCCTCCCCCACTTTCATACCTTTTTAAATTTTTTTAAATTAATTTTTATTGGAGTATAGTTGCTTTACATATATCTTTTTTAAATTGGTGGGTCATGATCCATTGGTGTGGCATGAAATTAATTTAGTAATAAGTCTTGTAATAATGTAGAATAAAGAACGGTGCACATCGTAGCAATAACTGCAGCGCTTGCAGTAAATATATTGAGACTCTGCAAAGGACATGATGGCACAGGTCATTTAGTCTTTTGTTTCAGTGATTCGTGGGGTAGTCACGTGTTTCTAATGAGAATGTATTTCTCACAACAGGTCTGATCAAAAATGTTCAATAAACTTTGGGGGAGGTGCGGAGCCTTCCATCATGGGATTGGAACCAAAATTGTTCAGTACTTTTTTCCCTTTAATGTTTTCTCAGGGCACCAGTCCTCCAAGCCAGATATGATATCCCAGTTGGAGAGAGAGGAAAAACTTTGGATGACGGAGGTCCAGACTCAGAGAGGTGGGCATTCAGGTGAGGACCTCGCTGCCAGAGTCCCATTATCCTGCCTGTGTTCTGGATCATCTGTCTCTTCTCTGTACAGCAGGCAAAGAGGCCCTTTGAAAACCTCAGTCATGTCACACTCCTCTGCTTCAGGCCCTCCCCTGGCTCCCCATTTCACTCGGAATAAAATCCAACATATTTAAGGTGCCCCTGAGGGCCTGTAGTGGTGTCCGTTCACCCAGCCTTAACAGTCTGCATTTTTCTCCTGTCATTTCCCCCTGCCTTGCCCTCTGCCAGCCCCACTGGTTCCTCAAATATGAGGATTACGCTTCTGCGTGAGGACCTTTTCCTCTCTTTTCTCTGGCTGGGAGGCTGCTACCCCACAAACCTCCAACCCCTCTCTCTTATTCATTCATGTCTCTGCTCGGAAGTCCAACTCACCTACAGCCTTCCTTGACCACCCCTTTTAAAATACCATCTTCACTCCATCACCTTCATTTGTATCTAAGTACTACACCTCCAGACTTCCTAGTATATATATTTTAATTGTAGAAAAACATAACAAAATTTATCATTTTAATCATTTTTAAGTATACAGTTCAGTGGCGTTAAGTACATTCACATTGTGCAACCATCAACACTATTCATCTCCAGAACTTTTTCATCTTCCCAAACAGAAACTGTCCCCATTAAACAAGTCCTTGTTCTCTCCTTACCCCCAGGCCCTAGTAACCGCTGTTCTACCTTCTGTCTCTGTCATACAGTATTTGTCCTTTTGTGTCTGGCTTATTTCACTTAGCATGGTATCTTCGAGGTTCGTCCATGTTACAGTTGGTCAGAATTTCCTTTTTTAAGGCTGAATAATACTGCATTGTATGTATATAGCACATTTCCTTCATCTATCGATGGACATTTGGGTTGTTGGCAACCTTTTGGTTATTGTGAATAATGCTGCTGTGAACGTGGGTGTCCAGATATCTGTTTAAGTCTCTGCTTTTCATTCTTTTGTGTATATACCCCGGGTAGAAATGCTGGATCATGTGGTAATTCTCTAATTTTTTGAGTCACTGCCATACTTTTTTCCATAGTAGCTGCAGCATTTTACATTCCCACCAGGAATGCAGAAGGGTTCCAGTTTGTAGCATCCTCGCCAATACTTGTTTTTTGTTCGTTTTTTATAGTAGCCATCCTAATGGGTATGAAGTGCTATCCCATTGTTTTTGATTTGTATTTTTCTAATGATTCGTGATGTTTAGCAACTTTTTATATTCTTATTGGCCACGTGTTTATCTTCTTTGGAGAAATGTCTATGCAAGTCTTTTGCTCATTTTTGAATCAGGGTGTTTGTTGTTTTTAGGAGTTCTTTGGGTATTTTGAATATCCCTCATCAGGTATATGATTTACAAGTATTTTCTCTCATTCTGTGTGTGGCCTTTTTACTTTATGGAGAAGGTCTTTTTTTTTTTTTTTTTTTTTTTTGTGGTACGCGGGCCTCTCACTGCTGTGGCCTCTCCCGTTGTGGAGCACAGGCTCCGGACGCGCAGGCTCAGCGGCCATGGCTCACGGGCCCAGCAGCTCCGCGGCATGTGGGATCTTCCCGGACCGGGGCACGAACCCGTGTCCCCTGCATCGGCAGGTAGACTCTCAACCACTGCGCCACCAGGGAAGCCCAGAGAAGGTCTTTTAATGCACAAAGGTTTTAATTTTCATGATGTGAAATTTGTCAATTTTTTTTTGTTGTCGCCTGTGCCTTTGGTGTCATATCTAAGAAACCATTGCCAACTCCAACGTCATGCAGCTTTTACTGTTTTCTTCTCGGGGGGTTATAGTTTTAGCTCTTATGTTTAGGTCTGATGCATTTTGAGTTGATTTTTGTATATGGTGTAAGGAGGGGTCCAACCTCATTGTTCTGCATGTGAATATCCAGCTTTCCCAGAACCATTTGTTGAAAAGATGGTCCTTTCCCCCATTGAATGGTCTTGTCCCCCTTGTCCAAAATCATTTGACCATCTATTCAGTGGTTTATTTCTGGGCTCTCTGGTCTGTTGCCTTGGTCTGTTTGTATGTCTGTCTTGATGCCTGTACCACACTGTTTTGGTTAGCTTTATGAGTTTTAAAATCAGGGTGTGAGTCCACCAACTTCTTTCTAATTTTTCAGGATTGTTTTGGCTATTTGGGTTCCCTCGAGATTCCATGTGAACTTTAGGATGAGTTTTCCTATTTGTGTGTTGGGATTTTGACAGGGATTGAGTTGAATCTGTAGATCCCTTTGAGTAGCATTGACAAAGTAATATTAGATCTCCCTGTCCGTGAACATGAGATGTCCCTCCATTTTTTTAATGTCTTTAATTTCTTTTACCAGTGTTTTGTAGCTTTCACTGTACAAGCCTTTCACCTCCTTGGTTCATTCCTAAGTATTTTATTCTTTTTGACGCTATTGTAAATGGAATTGTTTTATTTTGTTTTCAAATTGTTCATTGTGTATAGAAATGCAATTTTTAAAAATTGAAGTATAGTTGATTTACATGTTAATTTACTGCTGTAGAGCAAAGTGATTCAGTTACACATATATATATGTTCTTTTTTTAAAATATTCTTTTCCATATGGTCTATCACAGGGTACTGAATATATCAATAGTTCTCTGTGCTATATAGTAGGACCTTGCTTTTTATCCATTCTATATATAATAGTTTGCATCTGCTAATCCCAACCTCCCACTTCATCCCTTCCCCACCCCTCCACCTTGGCAACCACCAATCTGTTCTCTGTGTCTGTCATTCTGTTTCATAGATAGGTTTATTTTTTTATAGGTTCATTTGTGTCATTTTTTAGATGCCACATATAAGTGATATCATATGGTATTTGTCTTTCTGACTTTGCTTATTATGATAATCTCTAGTTCCATCCACGTTGCTGCAAATGGCATTATTTCGTTCTTTTTTATGGCTGAGTACTATTCCATTGCATACATATACCATATCTTCTTTATCCAGTCATCTGTTGATGGACATTTAGGTTGTTTCCATGTCTTGGCTGTTGTGAATTGTGCTGCTGTGAACATAGGGGTGCATGCATCTTTTTGAATTGTAGTTTTGTCTGGATATATGTGCAGGAGTGGGATCGCTGGATCATATGGCAACTCTGTTTTTAGTTTTCTGAGGAACTTCCATACTGTTTTCCACAGTGGCTAGAAATGCAAATAATTTTTGTATGTTGACATTGTATCTTGCTACTTTTAATTCATTTGCTGGTTTTAACAGTTTTTTGTGTGTGGAATCCGTATTCCCAGCCAGGCAGTCATCTTCTCTGCCATTTCTCTTATCCTCTCTGCCCCTCTCCCCTGATATTTAAATAATCACATGACCTAGGTGAAGTTTTCTGGTAGACATTTCAAATGTGATATTTATAGACGTCACAGATGCAGCTGTGTAGACAAGGAGATTCTGTGTAGGAAAAGAGAAGAAATTACTGAAATGAACCTTTTGCAATTCTGAGTAAGTTGAATTTGTGTAATTTGGTATTACTCTGAACTCATTTATCCTAAGTATTAGAAGAAACACCTTGGGAATTCCCTGGCAGTCCAGGGTTAGGACTCTGCACTTTCACTGCTGAGGGCCCAGGTTCAATCCCTGGTTGGGGAACTAAGATCCTGCAAGCTGCCCAGCATAGCCAAAAAAAAAAAAAAAAAAAAAGACAAAGCACCTTATGCATTTAATCCTTGCAATAGTCCTGACCACCTGGGTGATTATCTCTTTTTTATGGGATGAAACTTATGCCTTTGAAAATGTCATATAGCTTGTAAGTGGGTGAGTCAGGCCTTAAAGCCTGTTTGCTCTTAGTAGAGGCACTGATTTAAACCTGTTAACATTTTTGTGGACCCCCAAACTGCCAATTTGCCATTTTCCTGCAAGTGCAGCACCTACTACAGAAGTGGAAGAATTTCAAAAACGTATAAAACGTAGGAAGTTAGTTAACCCTAAAATTGTGTATGTGCTTCATTAAGATAATCATGTAATAAACCACCAACCTGGGGGCATACGTGATAAAAAAAAAAATGATCTAATGGGATCCCATGTGTAACCCCACAGTTGAGTTCAGTTTTAACATTCATCATCATGTTTTTTATTGAAAATTGAACTGACGATTTAAAAAGTTAATTCTCTGCTTCTCCGCCTTCCCCACATACACACACCATCTGGATGATCTGGTTTTTCTCCTTTCCATGGCTTTAAACGTTTTATTTTGGAAATATTAAAATGCAAAAGTAATGAAAATAGTATAGCATAGTCTGTATATTCATACTGTCTCAGCAGTCGTTGCTTTCTGCCATTCCCGTTTTACGTATCCTCCCACTCCTGTTTTTGCTGGAGTATGTCACATCACCCACAGATACATCAGTGTCTGTCCACAGTAAGAACTCACCTCATGCCTATCCTATGATCAGTATGGATGCGTGTATATTTATTTTTACTTTGGGTTATATCCAACATGGCATTGTTTATTTTGCTGTCAGATTGTTCCTGCTTTGACCATTGGCAGCTCTTTCAGGTTGGCTCCTATACCCCTGTGCCTCGCCCCATCCTTCTGTTTTTGGAGCGTTTCCTTTCCTTCTGACTCTACAAAGTCCTCCTTGTCATCTTGTATTTTTCTTACCCAGCCTTAGAATCAGCCATCTGCTCAAGGACTCCTGGTTCCTTTTAGTGGAGAATGGTATAATATTTGTGCACTAATCAAAATGCTTTTTAGTCAAAATGCTTCTTAATCAACCTTACTGAGAAACAACTTACATAAAGTAAAATTCACGCTTTTTGAAAATTTATAATTTGAGAGTTAACAGAAATGGTACGTAGATAGTGTAGAAAGTTCCTGCAGATGCCTCACCTGGTTTGCCCATTGTTAACACCCTACCTGACCAAGGTAAAGTTGTCAAAACTACAAATTGCACGTTGGTATAGTACTTTTTTTAAAAATCTAATTGGCCCTATGAAGCAATTCTTTTTTAATTTTTTAAATTTATTGAAGTATAGTT